ATTTTGCTGGAACTGATCGATATCGATCGAATTTTATTTGGGAATATCTTGTCCTTGATTGAGTTGCTTTTTTTTCATTTGAATTACAGTAATTTACCGAATCATTTACCGTAATTTACAGTAATTTTCCGTAACTGAATTGCAGTAATTACAGTGGTTCAGAATGTTTCCTTCTTAATCTCTGCTCTGAATTTCATCTTTGTGCTTTCTTCATTTCATATGAAGATGGATGAGACGAATGATGACTTTTTAGGAGATTCAATTAGAGACACGACATCCACAAATGTGGCTGTACAGTTTGACATGTGGACAAGTGAATGAATGATGTTGTGTATGAAAACGAACCAAGATCTTCGGCAAATATCACTGCTATCTGCTCGTCGTCATGTTTCGATGTAGAGGCTATTTCGGCTCGATCCGAGCACCCGCTTGATCCTTTCGGCTCCAGCACCTTCACGGATACAATGTCCGGTCGGGTGGAACGCCTTCAAATGAGAAGCACGTCAGTCAATAAACCACTGTATTCGGGCAGATTACCTTTCAGCAATTTATGAACTCCCTATCAGAGCACTTCAGCTAAGCCTAACCCCCAGACTATCTTATATTTAAAAAAATTAAAAAACTGATTTCTTACTAACTTAATCACTCAGTTTTCTATCCCCTAGTGGTCTAATTTTGAATGTTCATTTTTCTAACCCTTAAGTTCATAAGTAAAACAATATCATTTTCATATAATTGCTTATGCTCTGCTATTGTTCGTTCATCTGCTTGTTTAGTATTCACTCGTTTCCTTGCTTTGTATTGCATTCGTTCAAGATTTTTCAATGAGTATCATAATATTGCATCCAATGATATGTTAATTTCTTCATTTCATGTCACCCATTCACTTTTATAAAACTTATCGATTGCTGACAGATTCTTTTCTTTCAACAGATCATTTTATCATTTCCATTCTTACGTCAGGTTAATGACAGAATCCAAACCGATTTGTATGTTTACAGATTTCTGAGTTACCCCAACTGTACAGGTACAAGGAAATCAGTTGGATGAGATTTCAAATTCTTATAATTTAATTCGGTTCAAACTTGTGAACGTTGGAAGTGTATTGACTTATATGTTTCTGAGGAATTTGTTAACTTCTTCCAGATTAATTTCCAGAATGAGCATGTTAAAGAGAACTGAACGAATTCAACAACTGAATGATGCCTCACCAAAAAAAGCATCCACCTTCTGGATCACTAACAACCAATTGATATTTCACTTGAACATTCGGATGATACGGTAGTAGTACACGAGGCACATTCAACCGATAGGCTTCCAGGAATGGCTGAAGACTGCTCACAATGATCAATGTTAAGATGAACGATGTCATTTTTGAGGCCCCCGTATAATCCTGTATAGCCAATGGCCTGAAGTTATATTTGGTATTGAAAGTGTTATTATGCAATCATATGGCCGTCGGTGCCATCACAACATCAAAACCATGGTCGGCGTAAACGTAATGTTGATCTACTCATTTCGCTGACATATCACTGATCAACTATCAGAAAGCATTCACTCGAGGGCCTGCGAGATCATTATTTACAAGGTGATCAAATAATGACAATGTGAATGATGATACAATTTTTTTTGCTTTCAAATGATCGAAGATTTAAAATTTTTCGAAGCGTTACATGAGAGAGATATACCATTGACCCGCAACAACAACAACAAACGAACTCATAAATGAGAAAAAAATTGGGGAAAAAAATTCCCTCTCTTTGCTGGAAAACGATCATCTGATCTGGATTAAATTAAAATCATCTGGATTCTGATTTCATAACTATCGGAAATGGCGCCATATGCAGAACGTTTTTGGCTATTCGGGGCGCGTCATCGCAAATAGACAATGGGCGTGTATCATGAAAGTATCATGAACCCAGAGAGAGAGAGAACGTACCGTATGCGGATCACATTCATCATGTGCGTTCGGCCATAACGCGCGATTGTTTCGATCTTTCTTCAAAGCATTCAAATAATGCTGGCATCTGAACACAGACAACTTCATTTCGGTTGAAATCAACATTCGGATAGATTTCCAACCGATTACTGAAATTGTTTGGTCACAATCCGAACCTCGCACTTTCTTATGTTTTTCCGACCGAACTTCGATCAGATTCCAGCACTGCTTGAGTTAATATTATCACTTTGTGACTGTTAAATGACTTCATAAGTATCATTATTTAATGATTTCACAACTATCGTTATTAAATGATTTCACAAGTTGTGATCATTGCTAAATGTTCTTACTCTATCGAAATTGTTCGAAATTTCTTATCTCTAAAATTATCTTAACTCCTTCTGTGACAGTTTCCATTTTGATGTCACAGTTTTGAAGAATTCTGAAATTTGACTTGTTATTCGATTCTTTACATCTTCAAAACCGTAGGCAAGAATCCGAAATGTTTTATCCGATTTGTGGGAAGCGAAAACCGTGAAAAATTCTATCAGATTAACATTAACATTAACTGAAAAGCAACCTATTACAGTTCAAAGATAGATCGAATCGAATCTGTCTTAATTTTTCTGAATTCGGTTCGCTCGTTTCCTCCGGTTTCTGGCCATCATCGATTCTTCTGGTTTCTGCGATGCCATCCATCCACACACCATGTCATTTACTGGATCCAATTGAGCAGTCGCATTGACCTGAAATCGAAAATATTAAAATTGAAATGAGAAATTTTTAATAAATCGAACAATAATCGCAACCAAATTGT